ACCTAGTTCAACCAATTGAAAAAAAAATACATAGACCAAATAAATAGATTCTTCCATATTTGCAATACTATACCCACAATTAATCCAAGGGAAGGCAAAAAAAAAGCATGGTAAGGAAAGTTTGACTTCACTCTGACATCTCTGATTAGCTTGGTTCGGTTCACTTACTTAAAGTGGAACTTTACCCTTAAAGGGAATGTCCCCCCCTTCCACTTGTGTCACTTTTTTTGTGTGTGTGTGGGGGGGGGGGGGGGGGGGGGAAAATTATTTCTGGCACCTGCTCCCACCTGATTCCCACTTCTGTGGGCTATCCCTAGTGAATGTTCTCCCCCAGCTCCCGCAATCTCCTGGGACACATCACAGTGGGAAGCTGCCTCTCAAGCAACAAGGAGTCACAGCTGGCTTCCCACAGTCAATATGGCAGTGCAGGTGTCACGTACCTGATGCGAGACTGAAGGTCGGCCTCACTTGTGTCAATAGCCCTGACCCCGCTGAAGTTGGAACAGAGGGAGTCTAGGGACCAGGGGGACAAGAGCGCCAGTGGTTGTTGCTTGCGGCTCTTGCAGGTGATGACTTTGGTAGGCAGAGTATCCTCTGATTTGGGCATCATAGAAATAGACCAGGTAGGTTCTGTGGATTGTCAGATGTGCAGCAGAGCAAGGTAGGTAGCCAGGATACAGGACTGGAGCAGAGTCAAGGATAGCTGGGGTCATAAACAGTCGGGCAGAGCGGTACAGAATTAGGAGGAGAAGCCAAAGTCAGGAGCAGAGCCGAAGTCAGGAACCAGGAGCAGGAGAGTAATCGGAGTCAGGTCAGGAACAAGCCGGGTCAGCAACAAAGGAATCGTACGGAACTAGCAGGACACGGGGGGAGCTGAAGACCAGTCATTACTGAACCTGAGCAGAGGCACTCCTCAAATGGGCCGTCTGGCGCCAATCTTCGCCGTGCGTGATCACGCATTCCTGCGCTCATGTGCGCAACCGGCAATTCTCCTGCGGGAATGCCTGTGCGCATGCGCGTTCTCAATCGCGATTCTCCTTGCCAGAAATCCCTTACAGCAGGGAGCCTGAAGACCGGCACACAACCATCCTGGGTAGACGAGAATGCTGGATCCCTGGACAGATAGTTCTCTTTTTATTAAACGTCAGCAGCTACAGTATGTGTAGCTGCTGAATTTAATTTTTTTTCACAAACGACTGAAGAGCCAACTTTAGAAGCATTGAAGCCATGGGATCCACTTGACAGCCAGGCTACAGATGAATTAGCAATGGCAGCCTTTGTTTTTTCCTTAGTAGTGGCTTCATTGGTAGGCATTCGTATAAAAATGATTGTTGCCCATCCAAGCTAAATTCAGGGGACTGTCAGTCTATGGGTACATTGGAACATACAAACATTCATGGGTCATATGGAGCTTCTTGGAAAAATATTGATCATCCTGGTTGGATTTTCTATATTACTGTCCATTGTTCTACTACATTTAGTGTTGATGTTGGACAACAAGGACTTGTTTACTTATATACAGAAGGAACGTTCAATCGTTGGATCACCTTCTGCCATTTTATGTCTGTGGACACCTTTACCTTGTTCTAAAGCCAAAATTGTACAGTTACCAAACTATGCAAGATCCACAGTGATATCTAGTTACAGAGTGCTGTTATCCATGAGCCCTGAGGAAGTCACATGGTATTGTGACGCAACGCGTCGGCCAGACGTAGTGACGCACTTCCGGTGTGGCAGCCATCTTGGTACACCTGTGTACACCCATACATATTCATCACATCCAAAAGCATGAGGTTGAAGTTGTAATGTCTGCTATCTAATGTGAGTGCGCGATTTACTTGTCATTGTCTGGATATTGGCAATTAAACATACTACACAATGGAGGCATGTGTTTTATGTGTTTTATATGAGTTATTAGCGCAGCGTTTGATCTTGTCTGGAGAGGAGCCATTATTGGAGTGCTGACCCTTAGAGAGAGTTGTGTATGCAGTGGGAACAAATCTTTGGAGTGACAACCATCCTGAAGGATCTGTGAGAGGGATCCTTTTTAAGTGTTTTGACCCGCAAGGGTCGAAGTTTTAAGGTGAGAGTCTGATCTAGCCAGTGGTCGGATATTTTGTCAACAATCAACCCACTCTCACACTAATATCAGCACGAGTTTTTGATTGGAGTGTGATCATCTATGTGTTTGGACTTTATAAGCACAGAAATATATAATTTTTTGTGTTGTGTGTTGTTGCACTCTTTTCACCTGTATGCACATTGATTTTCACTGAATGGGGGTATTTATGTATTTATATATATATTTATTTATATATTCTATTTCAATGGTTTTTATTAATTTTAAACAGTATAAAAGAGAGGCAATAAAACACGCCCACGCAGGGGCTATCAATTGCACAGATAAACAAAATGCAAAATAAAAAAAAAAAAGGAAAAACGGTGCTCTAATGCCAACAGGGCAAAAGGTACGCCCACGCAGAGGCTATCAATGGCACATAAGTTACAAAACATTACTGTAACTGACTATAACAACTAAATGCAGCAGTCCAGTCACACCAAAACAGAGAGAGAATGAAAAAAGAAGAAAGAGGGGAAGAAAAAGAAAGAGAGAGAAAAAAAAAAAAAGGGAGGGGCAAGGGGCAGGGGTCCAAGAGCGCCAATACCGATCGCCATTACATCCCCAGACTAGCCGGGGAGAGTGTGGGGAAGGCATATTGCAACCACGGCTCCCATATTTTCAAAAATTTATGTTTGGGAGTCGTTGCGGATACTCGACATATTTATATATTCTTAAAGATGCACTAATATATTTTTTGGAATTGATTATATATTATATATTTCCAATAGTTGGAAATTTTGATTTATTTTTATATATATATATTTTTTATTTTATTTTTCATCACTATCATTGTTGTAATTTATTTTGGGTTCACTGATCACTGGATGATATTTAATATTTTGTGTGGAAATTTTCACTTAAAAGGGCACGGTATTGGTAGTATTATTATATTATATATCACATGATAAGTTATATATAATTATGATTTGCTACACATATCATATGGGTTTATACACAGATAAATATTTTATATGAGTAGCGCTACATCTTACTTATTTAACTGTTATCCATTGTATATGCACTAAATGGCAAAAGGATTGGGGACACCTGACCATGACACCTATCTGAGCTAATAGTACACCCCATTTCAAAACCACTGCATTTATATGGCGTTACCCCCTCCCCTTGCAGCTATACCAACCTCCACTTTTCTCAGAAGGCTTTCAAAAAGATTTTGGAATGTGTCTTTGGGAATTTACGCCTATGTAGCCAAAAAGAACATTTGTAAGGTCAGGTACTGATGTTGGTTTGCATTTGGTTTTTCCAGCTCATTACAAAATTCTTGAGGTCAGGGCTCTGTGCAGGACACTCCAGTTCCTCCACCCCAAACAGGTCAAAACATGTCTTTATAGAGTTGGCTTTGTGGACAGGGGGTACAGTCATGCTGGAACAGAGAAGGGATTCCCCAAACTTTGGAAGGTTGGAAGCCCACGATTGGCTGAAACGTCTTTGTTCTCATAAGCTGCGTTCAGTCTAAGCCCAAGCTGATCTCTACTAACCCTATCTCTACGCCCTATTCACCAGGAAAACATGGCCCACCCAAAACCAAGCCATAATTATAAGGCACACTAGGCTTGCCAAATATAAAAACAATGAAGAATAGTACTGTACATGAACTTTACAGCAGAGACTCCGAACACACATTTATTATAAATCCATTTATTGCACCGTCGGTTTTATTAGCTTTTTCATAGAAGGGTTCTGTACGTTTTATTTTGGTATATTACAAAGCAGTGATTCAGTACTTTATACACAATTATGTTTTATTTGCAGTGAGCACTTGCAACATCATTCTAAGGCTTGGTCTGGAATTAACATACTTACACAATAAAATGTACCCATACGTATGCTTCACTAGCCTCATACTAGACTACAATAGCCAGAGCCAGGACGGGGGGGGGGGCAAGATGGACAGCTGCCCTGGGCGCAGTGGTTTACTGTAGGGATGGGGGTGCTTTCCTTCTGTTACAAGGCTGACAGTAGGGACAGTGGAAGTGATTTTGACAAGCGAGTGACTGACTGGGGCGTAGGATCCCCTAAGCAGGGGCGGACTGACCATTCAAGCACTCAGGCACTGCCCGAGGGCCCAGGGTAGTAGGGGGCCCCATGAAATGCCCCTGGTACCTTTTATAGGCTTTTTTGAGTGTGCTTTGAGTGTGGGCAAGGACACAGGGGCCCCATGATCCCCTGTTGCCCGGGGGCCCCATGAGTTGTCAGTCCGCCCCTGCCCCTAAGGATGCACATCATGAATGGGGGGGACGCAGTTTGGCATCTTTGCCCTGGGCTCTGGATGACCTTGTCCCGGCACTGGCCAAGACCCCGTAGCTGGAAGGTGTTCTATCATACAAAGTCAGCAGTAGTATCTGCTCCTGCTATTGGCTCATCACGGCGATGGGCAGCCTCACCAACCAAAAGCAGGGAGCAGGGTCAGCAATGAAGTCTTCTGCTTCTTGTCTGCAGTCAGTATCTGCATATTAGGTCTCCGCCAGTTACAGGCAGCCAACGTGCATTGCCTGGCATTCTCTGGCTTCAATCCATTCTGAGTCACCTGGGACAGATATGCAGAAATGCAACATGTCCTTTTTGTATTTCTTTTTTGGTGTGAATTGAAACGATAGGAAATGTGCCTTGCCCTTGTGTTGGGCTTCCATTAGGCAGCACGTCTGGGTCCACTTTAAAGTGTTACTAAACCCACGACAGTACAATCAGTCTGTATATGCAGTAAAGCATGCTTGTTATCCTCACTTTGGAACCTAAGGGGTTAATCCTCCACATTGCATAATAAGGCTGTTTGATCCTGTCTTCTCTGATCCTCCCCTTCTTCTACTGTCCCCCTCTTATCTCCTGATAAGACATATCGTATAGAGACACTCTGCACATGCTCAGTTTAGTGTGTATTGCTAGAGAGGTTTTTTTTTTTTTTTCTTGGGAGAGTGCATGTGATCAGCACAGGGCCAATCAGCACTGTCCAGACAGAGGTCAGGGGTTCTGCTTCCTCCAAAATTAAATCTCCTCCTACAAGCTTTGTTTATTTTATTTATTTCAGATACATATTTAGTGCAGTCAACTTACACAGCACTTTTACATATATATTGTACATTCAAATCAGTCCCTGCCCTCAAGGGGTATACAATCTAAGGTGCCTAACTTACATTCATACACATACTAGGGAAAATTTAGACAGAAGCCAATTAACCTACCAGCATGTCTTTGGAATGTGGGAGGAAACCCACACAGACCCAGTGAGAACATGCAAACTCCAGGCAAGCGGTGCCATGGCTGGGATTCAAACTAACGACGCTAGCATTGCAAGGCAGAAGTGCTAACCATTTAGCCACATGTGCTCAGCTGGACACTACAAGAAATCACAAGACTGCTATATACTGCTGATGAGAAAAGGTATTTAGCAGTTTATATTTACTAAAATAATTGCACTTCTGTGTACTGCAGGAGACCAGATATAGTTGATGCAGGGTCCTGGGTTTAGTAACAATTTAACATGTGGCCATACTATATATGCTAATGAACAAGCAGTAAAAGAATTTTAAAATGAGCCTTCACTCACCTCTGTAGCTATAAGCATTGTGGAGAAATGTATTTCAAAAGTTCACAACAGAGTCCTTGACCTCTCAGCAATTTTTCTCCTACTTTCTATGGATGCAGAATCTTGGAAGCCTGCCAGGCCTCTCATATAAACACGCAGGAAGTGTTACTAAGCTTTTTTAGCCTAAGTTACTTACAAAGCCATCCACCGCTTGGCCCCGAGCTACATCACTAACCTGGTCTCAGAATAGCAACCAAATCGTTTCTTTTGTTCCATCCAAGACCTTCTGCTGTCTAGCTCCCTTGTCACTTCCTCCCAGGACTTTTCCAGTGTCTCCCATTCTATATGACGCCCTCCCAGAACTGGACAACTGTAGCCGTCATGCAGCTATAGCCCGGTTGTCAAGCTTTACCAACACCACCAAATCAGTTCGCAAAATACGGTGCGATGTGCAGAATCGGATCGTATGGGTGTGCATACCCATGCAATCCGATTCCAGTGCAGACCAAAAAAAGGGTGCACAGATTCTGCACCCAAGTTCTACTTCCCTCCTCCATACACAACCCTGCCACAAATATGTGCATTACAGACTGTTGCAGCACAGCCCTGTCCACTGGAATGGGTTGTAGTCGATGGTGGTGGTGCCCGAAGACTGTGCCATGGGGTATAATTGTCGCCATAGCTGGGAAGCAAAGCATCAGAGTGGTGGCAGGTACAGCCCATCAAACTGCAGTGGCAGCTTAGAGGGGGTGGTAAAACCAAGGCTCAGCTGCCTATTTTTATCACCCTTCGCGTGACTGAGCCTGTTGTGCATCAATCCAGCTCCATAGAAAGAAGGAAGAAAGCGACTACAATATGAGATATGCATTGCGTTTCTTGCAGGCTTTATTCACACCAAGCACAGCGTCCGGCAACGCGCCTTCCTGTATTTTCCTGAAAGTTGTGTTGGGGAGTCTAATCATTTTATGGTGCGGTGTGTTTGAGGCAGGGGTGGTAAAGCAAGCCCATCTATTTAAACAGCAGCTAACTTAAAAGCATGCATGTTGGACTTTGCAGCAGTGCGGTGCAGCGTAACGCTCAGGGCCAGTTCACACGACATGCGTTTCAGTTGCTTTTTTCTGCATCCAAAACACACAGAAAGTAGGTGATATGGATATCAATGTTACGGGGCGACACAGTGGCTCAGTGGTTAGCACGTCTGCCTTGCAGTAAATAGGTCATGGGTTCGATTCCTGACCATGGCTCCTCCTGCATGGAGTTTGCATGTTCTCCATGTGCTTGTGTGGGTTTCCTCCCACACTCCAAAGACATGCTGGTAGGTTACTTGGCTCCTGTCTAAATTGTCCCTAGTATGTGTATGTATGAATGTGAGTTAGGGACCTTAGATTGTACCCCCCTTGAGGGTTAGGGACTGATGTGAATGTACAATATATATGTAAAGTGCTGCATAAATTGACAGTGCTATATAAGTACCTGAAATAAATAATTTAAAAATGTCATCGTTCACATCAGTGCTTGTAGTTCCAGATGCAGAAAAAAAGTAGAACAAGCAGCATTTTTCTTGCACAGAACTGCACTAGAGCAAGGTAAAATGCATCAAAAAGGGAACAGAACACACCAAAAAACACACTGGAACGGACATGTCCCTATTTAAATTGACCCCGGGTTCACATTGATGCGGTGCGGAATTTGCAGCGTTCTCTTTGCGAATTCTGCACCGCATCACAATTGCACACCATTCATGCGAACCACTCCGGGTGTGTATGTTAACAACACCCCGAAATCGGTGCGATGTGCAGAATCGGATCGCATAGGTGTGAATACCCATCTGATCTGATTCTAGTGCCGACCAAAAAAAGGGTCCTGTACCTTTATGCTGCGGGTGCGATTAGAACCATACAGAATGTACGGCTCCGATCGCACCGCACAGAATTCACATGCGATTTGTACAGGAATGCGGTGCGGTTCCTGTGTGAATCACGTGCGATATACCGCACCGCATATATGTGAACCCGGGCTGAAGAAAAAGAGAGGGGAAAAAATGAACTGGAACGCATCAAAAATGCACATGCAGAAACGCATCCGGAACGCAACTGTACTGCGTTTCTATAGTGTGAAGCGGCCCTCAGACGTGTGATCCATTATGGCAGAGGTGTGGTAGGGAGTACAGAATGAACGTGCAGCATGCCGTGTATTATTGGTCAGGGTGGGACAGGACACCAGGCACAGCATGGCCCGCTCAGGACAATATGGACACCCTGGAGGGGACAGGACTGATCTGCAAACACAGAGATCTCCCGGCCAGCCTCAGATGTGATCACAATGTAAGAAGCAGCCCATTTGTCTGGAGGTTTCTCTGAGTGACAACCCAGCCCCCCCCCCACCCCTCCTCCACACTATCATGTGCTGTCACCCTTGTACTTCATTCTTCCCTCAGCCTCTGACACTGACAGCTCTCCTGACCAATCCCACGCTCCTCCTCCCCCCTCCTGTCCTATCAGCGGCTGGCTACCCAGGAATGGGCGGGCCCCGGCAGTGTGTACATTGTACTTTATTCTTTTACCAAGACCATGACAGCTGACCAATTCCGCTCTCCTCCTATCAGCAGCTGACTCCTGGGGGGTGGGCGGCGCCTTGGGCTGTGCATTGACAGTACCGTTCTCTCCGGCCGCTGACACTCACAGCTCTCCTGACCAATCCCACTCTCCTCCTCTGTGCCCCTCGTCCTATCAGCGGCTGGCTCCTCGGGGGTGGGCGGACCCCCGGGCATTGTATTATAAGTGTGTGTAAGGGGCAGTGTACTGTGCGGGGCGATCATGGCGGACAAGAGGGACAAGAGTGCGGATCAGATGAAGCTGTGGAAGGAGAGTCGGGGGGAACCAGGTACTCCCAGCCCGGGGCTCCCCATCTCACCCTGCACGGGAAAGGGGCTCACAAGGGCTCTTGGAGAACTACAGGGCCCAGCATGCCTGGAACTACAAAGCCCAGCATGCCTGGAGGTAGAACTGCAGGGCCCAGCATGCCTGGAGGTAGAACTGCAGGGCCCAGCATGCCTGGAGGTAGAACTACAGGGCCCAGCATGCCTGGAGGTAGGACTACAGGGCCCAGCATGTCGAGGTAGAACTACAGGGCCCAGCATGCCTATAGATGATAGAACTACAAGGGGCCAGCATGGCCAGAGGTAGAACTACAAGGGGCCAGCGTGGCCAGAGGTAGGACTACAAGGGGCCAGCGTGGCCAGAGGTAGGACTACAAGGGGCCAGCGTGGCCGGAGGTAGGACTGCAAGGGGCCAGCGTGGCCGGAGATGGTAGGACTGCAAGGGGCCAGCGTGGCCGGAGATGGTAGGACTGCAAGGGGCCAGCGTGGCCGGAGATGGTAGGACTGCAAGGGGCCAGCGTGGCCGGAGATGGTAGGACTGCAAGGGGCCAGCGTGGCCGGAGATGGTAGGACTGCAAGGGGCCAGCGTGGCCGGAGATGGTAGGACTGCAAGGGGCCAGCGTGGCCGGAGATGGTAGGACTGCAAGGGGCCAGCGTGGCCGGAGATGGTAGGACTGCAAGGGGCCAGCGTGGCCGGAGATGGTAGGACTGCAAGGGGCCAGCGTGGCCGGAGATGGTAGGACTGCAAGGGGCCAGCGTGGCCGGAGATGGTAGGACTGCAAGGGGCCAGCGTGGCCGGAGATGGTAGGACTGCAAGGGGCCAGCGTGGCCGGAGATGGTAGGACTGCAAGGGGCCAGCGTGGCCGGAGATGATAGAACTGCAAGGGGCCAGCGTGCCCGGAGGTAGAACTACAAGGGCCAGCGTGTGGCCAGGGATGTCCGCAGGTTATGCAGAGCAAACAATGGAGACCTGGGGTTCTGGGGGACTACAAGTTCCAGGAGACAGAACACCCCCAACCCTTCCAGGTCCTTCTCCATAGACCATTATCACACATCATGGCTGAGCTGTGAGTACAGACTGTGTTATAGACCTCATGGGAAGGGGGGGGGGGGCATCATGAATATTGGTGTGTCCCAGTTCTATGATCCAGGATGCTGATGTGTCAGTGCTCTGCAAGGCTTTGGTGCTGATGCTCCCCTGTTCTGCAAGGCTTTGGTGCTGATGCTCCCCTGTTCTGCAAGGCTTTGGTGCTGATGCTCCCTGTTCTGCAAGGCTTTGGTGCTGATGCTCCCCTGTTCTGCAAGGCTTTGGTGCTGATGCTCCCCTGTTCTGCAAGGCTTTGGTGCTGATGCTCCCCTGTTCTGCAAGGCTTTGGTGCTGATGCTCCCCTGTTCTGCAAGGCTTTGGTGCCTGCGTATCAGTGCTCTGCAAGGCTTTGGCACTGATGTGCCCCTGATCTGCAAGGCTGTAGAGCTGCACATCGGTGCTCTGTATGAGTTTGGTGCCGGTGTGCCCCTGTTCTGCAAGGCTTTGGTGCCGGTGTGCCCCTGTTCTGCAAGGCTTTGGTGCCGGTGTGCCCCTGTTCTGCAAGGCTTTGGTGCCGGTGTGCCCCTGTTCTGCAAGGCTTTGGTGCCGGTGTGCCCCCCTGTTCTGCAAGGCTTTGGTGCCGGTGTGCCCCTGTTCTGCAAGGCTTTGGTGCCGGTGTGCCCCTGTTCTGCAAGGCTTTGGTGCCGGTGTGCCCCTGTTCTGCAAGGCTTTGGTGCCGGTGTGCCCCTGTTCTGCAAGGCTTTGGTGCCGGTGTGCCCCTGTTCTGCAAGGCTTTGGTGCCGGTGTGCCCCTGTTCTGCAAGGCTTTGGTGCCGGTGTGCCCCTGTTCTGCAAGGCTTTGGTGCCGGTGTGCCCCTGTTCTGCAAGGCTTTGGTGCCGGTGTGCCCCTGTTCTGCAAGGCTTTGGTGCCGGTGTGCCCCTGTTCTGCAAGGCTTTGGTGCCGGTGTGCCCCTGTTCTGCAAGGCTTTGGTGCCGGTGTGCCCCTGTTCTGCAAGGCTTTGGTGCCGGTGTGTGCCCCCTGTCTCTGCAAGGCTTTGGTGCCTACGCGTCGGTGCTCTGCAAGGCTTTGGTGCCTACGCGTCGGTGCTCTGCAAGGCTTTGGTGCCTACGCGTCGGTGCTCTGCAAGGCTTTGGTGCCTACGCGTCGGTGCTCTGCAAGGCTTTGGTGCCTACGCGTCGGTGCTCTGCAAGGCTTTGGTGCCTACGCGTCGGTGCTCTGCAAGGCTTTGGGTGCCTACGCGTCGGTGCTCTGCAAGGCTTTGGTGCCTACGCGTCGGTGCTCTGCAAGGCTTTGGTGCCTACGCGTCGGCTCTGCAAGGCTTTGGTGCCTGCATGTCCTGTTCTGCAAGGCTTTGGTGCCTGCATGTCCTGTTCTGCAAGGCTTTGGTGCCTGCATGTCCTGTTCTGCAAGCTTTGGTGCCTGCATGTCCTGTTCTGCAAGGCTTTGGTGCCTGCATGTCCTGTTCTGCAAGGCTTTGGTGCCTGCATGTCCTGTTCTGCAAGGCTTTGGTGCCTGCATGTCCTGTTCTGCAAGGCTTCGGGGCAGCAGGTCTCTCTCACACTGCGAAGGGCCAAATGTCAGTTTAGGTCTGCAACACTGAGCCTTAGGGATCTTATTGAGACCAGGGAAGTGTGGGGTGGGGTGGGGGCTGTTGGTAAATTCTTCCAAAAACTTCTCTGCCTCAACAGTATAAAAGAAAAAAAAATCTACATGTACAATAAAAGTACAAGATCCAAAATGAATATTGAATGCTCTGGATTGCCGGCTGCCACTGTGGGAGGGGGATGTGCTTTGGTGTACTTTGCAGCAGACTTGGTGGCCCTGTAGGGGATGAGGTTTCTGGAGGGGGCCGGGGGTTTCTGGAAGTGGCAGGGGGGCTTTCCAGGAACCTTGGGGCTAGTGTATGTGTGTCATGTGACACTCAAAAACCACACCAAAAACACAACATGCATTTTTTTTTTTTTTTTTTTTTTTTTTTTTTTTTTTTTTTTTTTTTTTGGCTCGTTTTTCCATTCATTTTATTTGGGAGGTGTTTTGTTTCTGTTTTTTTTTTTTTTTCCAAGCACCAAAAATACAGCAAGCAGGATTTTTTAACGTGCAGCGGCCCCGTTCTGTAGGAATGCATGGTCACACTTTTTCAGTGTCAACTGTGGCGCCTGAAGGCTCCTGGGGGGGCCCCGCATGAGGTTGAGGGCCACTATGCCAGGTCGGTTGGCACTATGGGAACTGCGGGGGGATGGGGGCAGGGGTTTGCAGCTAACTGGAGGCCCAGGAGGGGGTAGGCTGCAGCCCAGAAGTGGGCCATGGCCCGATAGATAAGAACCTTTGTTCTAGGGACCAGATACATAGGAGCAGTTCTACTTACCCGATCACCCGCAGGCTCGTAGTTGCCGGTGAACACACCTGATCTCCAGGTATAATTTAAAGATCACTTCAAACAATTGCCAGCCATGTGCACTACACCCGATAATTCCCATCTTTATGTATAATTAACCAATCTGAGGATTAATGTCCAGGATTGGTATATGAGATGCGGGAGATACGGTAACCGCCCCTGACACCTAGTCTGTGTATACACCGCCGATCCCTGATTGGGGCTCAATTGTGTGTCGGAGTTGATAATCCAATCATTTTAGGGCACATGTGTATGGACATCCAATCCTGGCTTATTCCCTCTCTAGGGATCCCAGAGGTGCTGCGTACAGCTCCCTATAGAAGTCCATGGCTGTACGCACCTCTACTAGCATAGGCGTACAGTACACTACTCTAAATGCACAGATCTGAACCCAGACAGAGATCTGCGTCCAGAGTCGTACGCGCTTGCGCGCAGATCTGCGTCCAGAGTCGCTTGCGCGCAGATCTGCGTCCAGAGTCGCTTGCGCGCAGATCTGCGTCCAGAGTCGCTTGCGCGCAGATCTGCTGCGTCCAGAGTCGCTTGCGCGCAGATCTGCGTCCAGAGTCGCTTGCGCGCAGATCTGCGTCCAGAGTCGCTTGCGCGCAGATCTGCGTCCAGAGTCGCTTGCGCGCAGATCTGCGTCCAGAGTCGCTTGCGCGCAGATCTGCGTCCAGAGTTGTACGCGCTCGCAGATCTGCGTCCAGAGTCGTGTGCGTGCAGATCTGCGTCCAGAGTCGTGCTCGCGCGCAGATCTGCGGCCAGAGTTGTACGCGCTCGCGCGCAGATCTGCGCCCAGGCACAAATGTGCCCCCAGAGCTGTACGTGCATGCACACCCGTATAGCCACTGACATCTATAGGCAGCACCCCTGGAAGAAGAAATAAGCCAGGATTTGATGTTCATACACGTGTGTATGCGTCCTCAAATGATTGGCTTATCGAATCTGATACACAAGTGAGCCCCATGCCTCCATGAGCCATTATCGGGGATTGGCGGTGTATGCACAGACTAGATGTCAGGGGCGGTAAAAGTATCTTCCGCATCTCCTATAAGCTGCTATACAGCCATGTGCCTGACCTACATTGCTTCCAAATAATTTGTAAAGCTTCTGGTACTGTAGTACAATCAGATTTATTACACGGTTTACAGAATTGTAATTGGGAAATGATGGATCGTTGCATTCAGTGGGTGATGCCGACCTGACCCATTGAAGGGAATGGGACCGGTCCATGATGCCACCACCCTGTGGAGCGGTGGGTTGGCATTTTGAGGGTTAAAATAGACAGTGAGGCGGTGACATATTGCCTCCTTACAGCCTGTAAAGCACCCTCTGAAAAGCGTTCCACCGTGGATCACTTTTTGGAGGAGTGGAAATAATAGGCACACATGTCAGTAAGTCGTCTTATTACAGAAGGTGTTCTTATGGCTCATTTCATCACACACCCCAAAAATTCAAGGATTATTCCTCATTTCAGGACAGTGGGGGCTGAAGTGTGAGTGTAAGTCCTGCTGGCCTGATGTACATCCAGAAGTACAGAAATAGCCTAATATTATACAGCCAAT